GCTGTCTCAATAGTTACAGGTACCATGTAATCATATGAAAATCCAACCAAAGTTTTTGAAGCCATAACCCGGTGTGTGCACTCAATTGTCCAATCCCAAAATAATGGGCAGAAATAGCCAGCAGCAAAGCAGGTGTGTGGCAAGGGATAAGAAGACTTATCTGCATAAGAGCAAATATACTAAAAAAGATCACATTAGCATAGTTTTGCCTGAGAACTAAACTCTTGAAGGGTGTTGCTGGCAATGGCACGGATAGATTAGAAATAAATATGAAAATAAATAAGTGTGCTTGTTCCTTGAGGCTGTTAGCGGCGGTGGTGGCGGTGATGCGGTTTAGTCCCCTGCAGGGCTCACAGCAGCATCCGTCTTTTCTGATCCCCAGTGAAACTGTTTATCCATTAATTTCCTCTTGATTTAATTGGCAGGATGGAGGAGCCTCCTCCTCCTTCCGAACTGACCTGCAGGTTTATTAGTCCCACCACAGTGGGCCATCTTCTCCTGCATCTTATTCATTTATTTTTGTCGTCAATTCAGGCTGTGAACATGATGTCTTTGCCCTTTATCCCTCATTTTATTTTACACCCTAACAGATGATTAAATCAAGAGGTAAGAAAAATCACCGTAGATATAAAGTTATAGATCAGAGAAACATGCACTTGTTTGCACAGGCTGTGGAAATCCTGTCTAAGCATCTGTCTATTTTTTATAAGAAACAATAACATTTTTTGTATGAAGGTGAATGATTAAAATGGCATTAGTACATTATATTGTACATTTTTGTTGATAATACTTTTGACATCAAATTAGTGCTGGATTGTAATGTACAGTACGTTGTGTTATTCGGTTAGGAATTTCAGTTATTTATTTTCCTAATGGTTTGTGTAATTACTTACAGAATTAAATACATTTCATTTTTTAATTCTGATGACAAGATATCATTAGAATTATCTTGAAAAACACCCCTTGAGATCCCCCACTGTGACGAAGAAAAACATAAAGTTAGTGGTCCAATCTGGGAGTATTTCTGTGGAAAATGGATACATCTGTTCATCTTTAATAAAAGAGAGTTCACAAAAGTAAGCGTCCACAGCAATGCTAGTGACTCTGTGAGGCTCTGCTTGGCTAAATGCTAACAAGCCCACAAGGACAACATATGCTGAATTTATGTTTATCAGGAATGAGATTCACCACGTTTGCCTTCGAAGTTTAGCGCGTTAGCATGATAACATTTTCTATTTACTGCTCAATCAATCTCGGAAACCATTGGCTGTGACAGAATTGAATAAATAAGAAATTGCCTCGTGCAGCTTGGACATTCATTTTCAGTAACTTGTGATAACACACATTATTTGGAGAATAGAGTTTGAATTTCATCTATATTAAAAGGCTGACAGGTTTTCAATATACTCAACGACTGATTCAATTCCACCACTCGTTTTGTTTGTATATCTGCTATATTTTGTTTACAGTAACTTTCCAGCCTTTTCACTGATTATATAAACTACAACCACATAAAAGCCCTCTTGAGAACCTGCTTCAACTCAAGAGTGCCAGCTTTATGTGAGGGCTAAAGGCTGTGTGTGCCTGCTGTGTGTGCCTGTCGTCCATACAGCACAAGATGATAAACAACATAGCAGAAGGTCATGTTAGGAAGTGTGGGGCCATGGAAAAGCCATCAACTGCCCCCCCCCCCTCCAAACAGCCTCCCCTCCCATTTTCAGCTCAGTGCACTCTTTAGCAGAATTATTGATGGTGCTTGTGAGGTACAGACGACCAGGATGAAGATGTCTCAATGCCTGGGCTGCAAAACAAGAGCTATGGCAAAGGGTGGGACAGCAGGCGGAACAACACATGCAGTATTTATTGCTGTGTTCAATAAGGGGAAAGAGAGGAAGAAAAATGGAAGTGATCTCAAAAGTGGAGCAACATAGAACTCATCCTATACTCTATTAGGAGTGGTTGAGGATATCTGGCAATATACACTCTCTTTTTAGATCATGCTGCAGCTGAAAACGACACTAACCACTAACATGTATCACCAATATGTATCACTAACATGCATTGAATACACTAACATGTATTCAAAACACTACAGTTGAAGGCTGTAAGACAAAGCAAACAAATGCACTGTAAGAGTTTAAATAACTCAGTAGGGGGGGGATTATCTGTGGAGCGACCCCTTAAACAAGCGAGTAGTAATATGATCGATTGTTACTTTACAATGATTGATAATAGCAACTATTTTAGTATACCATATTTAAGAATTGCGAAATCAGAAGCAAGTCAATCAGTCACAATGAAAAACACAAGATTTCAAATTGTTTGCAAAACATCTAAATAAAGCATGACAGTTTCTTGCAAATGCAAAATTAAATCTTACTTTGTGGTTTTCAATCAGGATCTGAGGAGAATTTTCACCTTTTACTTCAAAGTGTTACAGTTTTACAGAAAAGAGAGGGAGAAATGTGGGGGTGCCATGCAACAAATGGTCTGCGCCACAAGATGCTTACCTGTACTGTACATTGCGCAAACTCTACTGACTCCCCAGGAAGCTGGAAAGAGCATTTTATATTAAGTATTATATAAAAACTTAAAGTGCCTTATTATAATAATGGTTCCGGTACATCATAAGTACTCCTGCAGGTGTTTTACAATGGATGTAAGTCATTTCACCTTGTGAAAAAGGTTTAGGTTGGAAGAGAGCGGGTGTTTTTTTTTCTTCTTTTTTGGTGAAGATGTCCTGTTTCTTCAGTTTCATCATGCTTACAGTACCTTACTTGTCTCCTCTTCAAGCCCAGTGCTAACTGATCTGTTTCTTCTCTCTATTCCCAGGATGTTCAGTTTGTCATCATAATACTGCTTTATGTGCCGCATGGAGATAAAAAGGCAGCAAAGGGATGAAGATGTGTCTCATGCAAAGAAGACCATGCAGCTTTTTTTTTCTTTCTAAGAATGTCCTTGATGATGACTGCTCTTCATTAGAACGAGCGATGTGTCCTCTTTGCTTCCATCTTTGTTTTCTCAGTGAAATTAACATTCCATACCTCGAGCCCCGCAAAGAGATAACTCTTATGATGACAGTTAATGAAACTCACTGCTCCGAGATTTATTTAATACCCCCCCCCCCCCCTTGATGTGTATTCACAGCATGGGAAAGAGGAAAGCATGAGTTGAGGCACACACACACCCAGTAGTCAGTGTCCCTTTTGATAAATGCCACGGCCACAGAGAACGTCCATGTGATCCACGTTCATAAGAATGAGTTCATCATCAGAAGGTGACTTTTCACGGCAGGGTCTTATCATAAAATAACTTGATTAAAACCAGGCAGCTAGTTTAAACCTTCTTCCCATAGGGAGGAGTAATGAACACATCAGATATCTCATATCAGCTTGTTCTTGTGCTCCGGTTGCCTATGTATGATGATGCTGATGGACATGCATTTTTTGTTTTGTGTTAATTCTTACAAAGTATACACTTATATTTATCATCATTTTTATGTTTCTGTTCAATCATTCCCATCTGTAGCCTTTTGATTTCTCTCTCATCCTCTTTTTTAGGGTTCGCCTTCCATGCAGTACAGCACGTCTCTCCCTGATTTCTTTCAGCATACTGTGCTTCTAATGTGTTTCTGACCCCCTCTAGAGGAACAGTAACAACATCACCAGAATAACCCGCTGTTACTGGTCTTGTTATTTGTACGTGCCGTCCCTGTGAATTGCATTACCACAAACTGTACTTTTCAGAATCACAATTGGGCTGAACAAAAAATAAACTTCATTGTCTCCACAATTGTACCAGATATTATTTTTAGCTAATGCTATTGTGTTATTGCTTCATACAGGCGAATAAGGAGAATGCAGATAAACTGAAGGCACAGCATGTATAAAATGTGCTTTATTATATTGTGTAGTTTGTTGAATTAAATAATTTACAGTATTAGAAAAAAAGGAAATATGTTGTGTCTTGATTCAGGAAACAAGTCAAACCTGCACCCTTTCATTCTGTCAGCTATTGTAGCACCCAGTGTTTCTTTCCTGCCACTCTTTGATGTATCTTGAATTTTTCCACTGAATCAAACAGCTGTCACAATGTTCGCGAGAAATGACACCTCAGATACAAAGACTTCCTTTGTCATCATGAAATGACTACAATTTGTGAAACGTGCTGTGACTCTGTCTGATAAGGAGTGAGTGGCATCTGTTGCAACTGCAGTTAAGAGTCCAGCAAGTCTGTGTGGTTTTTAAGAGTCAGGACTACAACTGTGCAATTCAGAAAGCATCTCCATCTTAATGATTAGTAAATAGATACTGTATTATGTAGTATGTAGTATGTTTTCTGTTCCAATTGCTGTACTTTTACATACATTTTGAAGTTAGATAAATGAATAAGACTGTACTGCAGTCTGACTTTTTAAAAAGAGGAATCTTTGTTTTTCCAGAAATAGGCCCACTGTAGTCTGACTCAGGGCAGCCGCTGTGATGAACCCATTCGTATTTAAGTCATGCACTCATAGTCATTTATACTCGAGCTAAATTTAGAGTTCGGAGCTGTTCAGCAGGTTTTTGTGAATACCAAAGCGTAATACTTAGGGTTACACAAGTTTATTTCTGGTGCCATTCAAAAATATTCAGGGTTAGACAACTTATAGAAAAGTAAAGAAGTATAAAGGCAAAACAGATCATATCAGGTTGAGAGTACGGGCAAGGACTTTATTAATATAGCAGTTTGAAACAATGAAGAGGAAGTGAGAGATATAATTACATAAAAAGGAAAGTCCAGTCAAGGAAACTGCGCAACAGAAAAAAAACATTTCATTTGAAGTAAATGTGGGGCACCCAGCAGTTCTATCTGTGCTTATGTTTCCGTTCCAGCCTTCTCTGTTTTGAATTTAAAGAGACTGTAACTAATAATACCACACAGAAGAGGAAGCTGGTTGATCACACATAGTGTCACACACCCAACAGCAAGCACAACTTCCTGCTTGTGTCTGTGTGTGGGTGTGAGAGAGAGAGAGAGAGAGAGAGAGAGACAGAGACAGAGAGGGAGCGAGAGAGAGAGGTGGTTTTCTGTGGGAAACTGTTTTGACAGTCACTGAACAAGTGACAAAAGTACCAAAGATCATGGAGCCGCAACTGATCAGAGAGGGATACTTGGTGAAAAAGGTAAGAACAAATACAAGAAAACACTATCCACCTTGCATTGCATCTGTAGTGCTGGAACATGTTGTTTTACAAGTCTAACATAACGTAACAAAAGTGTTTGCTCAAGGATGCAGAATGGCTGCAGTGTCTCAGTTCATGGTTAGCCCAGAAGCAGCCGTCACGCAAACTGTGACAGACATGAATTAATAAACAACTCAAAAAATGTCTGGAAACAGTGCTGGCAAAGAGGAATGTTCGTCCAAGTCCAACCAGCACCGAGAGGAACGGACGTGCATTTGCTGGTTAAAACACAATTACACACTTCTGTGCTATAGTTGCAACCAAAACCCAAGTTCCTGCTTCTGTCCAGACACCAGAGAGAAAACATGTGACGTGTTTTGTAGTTTGTGTTTGACCATTTATCAATCATAGAAAATGTTTTAACTTGGGGGGGGGGGGGGGGGCTATATAATATAAAACTTTGCAATATATCATGGATGTATTTTGAAATCCACAAACACGACAACATTAATTCCTACTGCTTTCAGTAACAACGGTAGCCAGATATATAAACAATGTGTCCGCACAACATGATTGCAGAAGCCATTTCCCTCATGAAACAGGAATTAATCCACAACAAGAAAGTGTATTGAGAAGGTGTTTGTTTGGGAACAAAGCTCCTTGGGCTGTTTGCCACAGGCTGCGTAGGGTGGTCGGAAAATTTGAGAGACGTAATGAATTATTGTTGGTTTTGGTGTAAGAACAGTAAGAAAAGTCCCGATTAGCGTTGATACCTGCGGGAGTGGAAATTAGGTTTATGCGCGAGTGCATATTTTAATAACATACTCAAGGCTTTATGAATCTGTTATGCATAAACAGAGTGTTAGTATTAAAACCATACACAGTGATACATGAAAGAAAGTACAGTATGAATGGTGCAGTATCATGAAACACACAGTGGACATTAATAACAACATTGAGGATATGTTTCACAGCAGATATATTTGGGAAGACTTTGTTTCGAACATAATTATGCAACTTTAAAAATTTTGATTTCTAATGCCTTGCTGAAAAAAGTCACAAAGGGAGTGAGGGGAGCAGAGGATACCGAATGCTCAAGAGTTTGTGAAATATAACATAACTAAAAACAAACCCAATTGTTCAAGAGAGAGGTTGCCAAAGCCACTCATTTATTTTCCCTTTACGTATTAACAGAACTCCCAACTGTAGATTCATTTCTGCTTTTTTATGTGTTCACTCACACTTTCATTTTTTAAGCCTGTAAGTTACTTGTTACTTGTACTTTACTTGTACTTTCACTTCATGTTACCAAACACACCGTGTGAAACAAACCACAAGGCAACATTTATATTTACAGAGGGAAATTCCTGTCAAAATAAAAATGTACTTTTGGTGTTCCATCATCTGAACAAAAAGTTTTCTCTTCTGGCGATATCAAACTGACAGACATGAGTACCTTTAGTGAGAAAAAGGAGGTGTTCAAATAAGAATAAACATTCAGTTAATGCACAAAATGCTTTCGGTAACAACTACACCATCGAATACTTTCACACTTCTGCTCGAGGCTGCCTGTTCTCAACTATCTTATTGATCCTCAGGGTACCGTGCTAAACTCCTGGAAGGCAGTGTGGGCAGTGCTGTCAGAAGATGGGTTGGAATTCTATAAAAAGAAAACAGACCGTTCTCCAAAAGGAATGATCCCTTTAAAGGGAGCCAAGCTCATCAGTCCATGCCAGGATTTTGGCAAGAGGATGGTAAGAAAATGTCTAGCTGTTGAAAGATCTAAACCAGCATTAGAAGGAGGATTAGAGATGTGAAACTTAGTATAGGATCAGTAGCAGAGTTCAATACTACGATTGAGAAAAATATTGAATTCATTTGACACAGCTATTATGTCTTTTTTTCCTTCAAAATAGCAGCTGTATTGATTGTTGTATCCTCATATTATAACTAATATATAATGCTCCATTTAGCTGGTTTTCAAGATTACCACAGGCAGGAAGCAGGATCACTTCTTCCAAGCCTCACATTTGGAGGAGAGAGAGTTTTGGGTCAAGGACATCAAGAGAGCGATTACCTGCCTGGAGGGGGGAAGAAAGTTTGCCAGGAAGTCCACAAGGCGCTCCATTCGCCTGCCTGACAAAATCAACCTGACGTACGTGTTCTGAGAAATGTTCTCGGTGGTGGAAACAATTACTTGAAAAGACAAATATAACTGATTGATTTCATTCTGAGAGTTGACCTTTGGCTAAGGCCCGCCCCCCTTGGTTAGGCCACGTTTGTTACATCTGTCAAGCTTTCTATTGTCCCACTGCACACAGTTTACAGCAATCACTCGAAATTGTTAATAATTTTGGAAACAATGGGTCTTTGATTTTAGAAGAGGCAGATATAAGCAGGCTGCTTGCCGTTGACTACTGATTTTGCTGCCAGCAGATTGTACAGTTAACTCTATGTCTATAAACTTGTTGACAAAAAGTTGGCATCAAGAACATCATATGTACAGTAAAAAAAATAGAGGATCAGACTGTTATTTCATTTTAGCATTACCTGGTTTATGGATTAGTTTATTCTGGGAATCACATGAGTTAGATTTATGCTTTAATAATATGTTTAACTTTTAAAGCAATTGAGGGTGAGGACTAACTGATATATTATAAAATATAAGACCAGTGCACACAGAGTGGATGTGTCGCTCCTATAGACGGTAGGGGCTAACTTTACCTATAACCGCACATAAAATAAAGACAAAGATATGCTTCTTGTCCTTGGACGAATGTTACTGTTACTACTATAGTTAGCTAGCGTTAAAACGTTGCTGTTTCTGCTTTGGTTTTGGAAACACTCACAAAAAAAAAGGATACAAACATCCAGAGTCTTTGTTTACCACCGATCACTGTCACGAGCCTGAACACCGGATGTGGAGAAAATGTGGAGCTTGACAGGACTGCCTTTAGTGAACAGATAAATGCATGTGCTTAGTGGTAGATCGTAGAGCAAGACATGTTGACAATGTCTATATTGTGTTTTCTCAGAGAACTGTACACACTGATGAAAGACCAAGACGATGGTGTAAAAGAGTTAAAACTGGAGCAGGAGAACCGAGTCTTCAACCACTGCTTCACCGGTACTGTTGTCTTGGCTTTTTAGATGTAACAGGTGTGGAATTTTTAAATTTTATTTTTACTTTGTAATAATAGCCTCGCCATTTTCACTTCTTTCTTATTTTTTCCCAGGTGCAACAGCGGTAGAGTGGCTGATTTCCAAGGAGAAAGCGAGAAACAGGCCTGAGGCCCTCATGCTAGCAACAGGGCTTCTGAATGAGGGTTTTCTCCAGCCTGCGGGTGACCTGTCAAAGGAGGGAGCAGAGAGTGGAGAGCAAACAGCCTTCTTAAATGAGACAAATGCTCTTTATTACTTTGTAAGTTGGAAAAGTTACGATTGAACAATCAACATATTTAATTGATAAGGTTGGGGATGACTAATGTCCGTGTATGATGTGCGTTGAGACAGGCAGACAGTGGGTTCTTCTGCGAAGGCTACTCCAGTGATGAAGATGTGCTTCTGAAGGAAGAATTCAGAGGAAACATCATAAAACAGGGCTGTTTACTGAAACAGGTGAGTCAGAATGCGAGCAAAGCGTCACAGTAATTTTGTTCCCCTGCATGCATTTACGATTCTAATTTACATGTTATTAAGGAGAAGAATATCTTGATAAGAAGCCAGGTTCTGTGTTGTACAGCTTCAAAACACCACACTCTTTAAATGAGCTCTCACATTCATGCCCACGTTCAGATGAAAATAAGCTGTGGTGCAAAGTGGGAACATTTTTTGTTATAACGATTAGGCAGCTGATTTGTCACATTCACTGAAAGAGGAAGTCTCCTATTTGCACAATGCCACGTGTGCTGTTTAGTCATGTTAAAAAAATTAGAAAAAGCATGTTGTGTTATTTTATTACAGGGACATAAGAGAAAAAACTGGAAGGTGCGAAAGTTCGTACTGAGAGACGACCCTGCTTACATGCATTATTACGATCCTACAAAGGTAAACACACTGACTTGTATAAGCTGAAATAAGAAAGAACAAAGAATATGAGTTTTTTCTACTCGTATTGTCCTACTTTGTGGCTTATTTGGTCTCTTTACTTTGCGTCAGGGTGATGATCCTCTGGGCTCGATCCATCTCCGTGGGTCTGTAGTTACAGCTGTGGAGTTTGTGCCTGATGGTGAGTGGGACCACTGTCACAGGAAACACACGCCCTGTTGCTTCCCCACTGTGACCAGGAACTTGATTTGGTGTTTACTGGCAGTAGTTTCTCATCGACTCATCCCTCTTAACTCCTTTTCCTCATCTTTTACGGGTTTCAGCCAAAAAGTACGACATTGACGACAACCTCTTTGAGATCATCACCTCGGATGAGACTCACTACTTCCTCCAAGCTGCTACAGCTGAAGAAAGAAAGGAGTGGATCACAGCAATACAGGCAGTGTCGAAAAGTGGAAAATAACAGGAGCAGTGGGGCAGCCCCAGTTGAACCTATTGATTGAAAAATGCCACGTTTGAAATGTCTCTTATTGCATAAAAGTGTGTCAGCAATGTTTTCATGTGTCAGCAAACTGAATTAGTGCTGTGTCATTCCAGAGTAACTGGCAAGTTGCACTCTATACACTATCAAACAAATGTTATGATATTTTTGTGCACGTATCTAATTAAAAATAAACACAAAACAGTTCAATTTAACGGTGTAGTTTTTTTTTTTATCACCAATGCCTAACTACTATGTCTTTAATTCACTAGCACTTTACTTTACAGAGCAGGAAAAACATGGTAATAAGAAGTAATATCTTGATACTTACTACTTGAAATACTAACACAATTTTAAATGATGGTGTAACTATGTTTTGTCCTATTATTACCGTAACCTATTTTACATTCCTATTAGAAAAATGACTCAAGCTATTACTCCTCATTACCTTATGAGGGCTACTGTTATATACTATGTCCCTGAGAAGACAGCTCATTGTGGTGTCTAAAAACACAATAAATTGCATAATCCTAGCATCTGTTAATTGATGATATATAATACGCTGTATGCTGTGGTTTATTTGCTAAGTAGGCTAATGTTACTTTATTTTTCATAGAAGGCACTAAGGCAGCTATTTTAGGGGACGGCTGTCAGTCAGAAACTTAAGCACGCTGTTTGAATATAATATCCGGTAAGAAAGAACGGTTACAAGGAATTAGGAGCTCTGTGTTTTTGGTTGGAGGCTTACTAATCTGCCCAATGTGGTTTTTCAGATTTCCTCCTTGTTCACTTGTCTATCAAAAGTTTGAGATAGTTTGAGCTATCATACAAACACACTCGGTTCCTGAGTGTAAACTAAGTCTCAATCATATTCCGCCTTCACACTTCAGTGTCAGTTTGTGGCTTACAGGCCTGCTGCATCTGTGAGAGAATTTATCAGAGGCAAAAATGACTGGCTTCAGCTGCAGTATGACTACATAAAAAAAAAGAAATAATAACTTCAGTCTATTTATTGTGAAGTAATTTAAAGAATAGAGTCCTATTTGTTACAACTTTGGCCCCCTTGACCATCAATTATGTAGTAATATTATTATATTTACTAAATGATTTTCTGAGATCTGGGGATGTGCAAAATAAGTCTGAGAGGGCAAGAAAGAAACACACACACACTCATACTGGGTTTCAAACAACCCCCCAGGCTAGCCAAACATTTGGAGGAAAAAACAATGCCAAATGGTAGAATTATCTCCTAAATCCTCACAGTTTACAGATCAATCCCCTTGTTCAACTTTGAGCATGTGTTTTTACTGGAATTGTTCGCAGTTTTCCTGTGGAATTATTCACATTTATAATGTCAGGATAAGCCCTTGAGATGTATCACCTCATTTACATTAGGAACATTTGATCATCTTTTACCAACAAGCTGTTCTCCTCCATCAAGGCATATTCACTCACATTACACAACATTACTTTACATTTATTGAACTGACGCTTTTGTCCTTGAAATATGTGGAATCACTTTGGCAACATTGGTTGTGGTGATACATAATGAAACATGGTGAAACATAATAAGCGTTGGCTTCAGCTGCTGCCGTTTCATTCATTGCTGTTATCTCATTTTGACACTAATTCATTATTGTTGGATGGCGCGAGCACCTGGTTACATTTCTGTTTTCAGTTTTATTAGTATTCATAAGAAGACCGAAAAGAAGATCAGTCTACCAATGCATTAAAAAAAACATACTTTGTGGCTGCCTGCATGTGTGTTTTACTATTTTAACACAGGAGGGCACTATATATCAACCGAACCTTTCTGTGTCTCATTGCAAAGCGGGATCTTGCTTTCAATGAATGACGGTCAACTTATCTTGCAAAACATGACACACACACACACACACACACACACACACACACACACACACACATACACAACAAAACACTGATATAATTAAAAGGTACAACATAAGAAGTTTTTTTTGTACAAGCACTATTTCTTATATCATGCCATATGAAATATTTTGAGCCAGCTCTTAGCTTTGAGTGCAGAGGATATAGAGAACCCTAACGCGTAAACAGGTTGTTGGTCTACATTTAGGGTTTTCCTGTCCAGCAGCTTTACATATATTTACATACCCCACGTGACCTAATATTTTTGCATTGTGCTGTGTAGTTACATAAAGCCTATTCACTTTCGATTATGAGTGAAATATTTGAAGTGAATTCCACAGGAGGGAACAAACGAATCAACTTTGAGCATATGTCACCTCTCAGTCAAACTTTTTCTCTGTTAAGCACCTTGTGCGTTATCTTCCTTCTCATTGCAGATCATGGACAAGCTCAATTCAGAGCAGGAACAACTCTGTAAGTGGCTTTCAGGTGACCCAGATTACATCCTTAAACAGTCCAGGAATATTTTATCTATGAATGAGTTTCTCGAGAAACCAGAACCAGTGCATTCGACAAGATGAGGGTGCTATCTCTGTTTCCCAGCACCAGTTTCTCCCCGAGCAAGTTAACGGAGATCTGAAAGCAGAGACCGTCCAACCAAGCACCCTAAAAAAAAGAATTTGCTCTGTTACTGTGTGCGTGTAAGCCTTTGCACTGATGTTCATTAAATTCCATCGTTGTCAGTCATCAGATCAGTCTTGTTTGTGTCCATTTCACAAGAAACAGATACATTCATATTTTAAATCCTACTGAGTTTTTCAGAATCAGAATCAGAATCAGAACCGTTTATTGCCATGGTATGTTGAACACGGAATTTGACATGACGGGAGATGCATAACATTCAACAGTCAACAACAATCAGCACAGTGCAAAGTAGAAACATATTAAAAGTAAAATTTACAGTAAAATATAAAATAAAGTAAAATTTATAATAAAGTGAAATACAAAATAACGTGCACAAACGAACAGATAACAGGACTATAAACAAGTGAGATGTAAGTGTAATCTAAAAGTGTCGAGTGTATTTAAATAAGAAACCTAGAGGGGATGTGCAGGGAAGTGACCGGTAGGAAATTGTCCTGGGGATGACAGAGTCAGCCAAACTGTTATTTTGAGAGCCGTTTTCTGACCAGCATGGAACAAAGTTTATCTCACCTTTGACTGGAGACTCCCCAAGAAGAGTCTTTTATACGTGTCTGCTCTCAAATAACATTGGTTTTGAGATTGGATTAGTGGCCTGCTGTCAGATTGCAGGTGGAGTACTTCAAAGCTCCACAGACTGAAAGACATATCTTCCAGCAACTGTTTAACAGACACAGACTATGTCTGCAGATTGTACCTGTCGTCTATAAACAGCATTTATAATGAGTTCTGTATGTTCAAACGCTTGTTCTAGCTTCAAAGGTTCTGATGTCTGACTCCTCAGCTAGCACACTATGTACTGAAGATGACATGTTTTTCTTCCTCTTGCAAAGATATATTCCAGGTACTTCATGATTTAGTATAACAAAAATAACCATAAACAAACAGAAAGACAACTCTTTGATGAAACCTAATCCACAAAAGCAAGTGCAAAAGGTCTTTTGTTGGATATAGGTCTAACGCCTTTAGAGGCCCTGCTGTAGGGGGGTCACTGAAGGGTCTGATGAATATAAAAAGGATGTGATATTCATGTAAACTTAAACTTCATGGTCTGTTGTTAAAAGTGACCTGAATCTGCGTAGAGCTACAGAAACGAGTGTTGCTGCTGTGGGTTTCGGCATTGTGAGCTACATTTTTTTCATTTTGATAAAAACAGGGAGAGACAAGGCAGGGCGGTTGCAGACATCCACAGTTACATCAGAGGGAGACGCGAGGGAGGGAGCATCTGGAGCAGTTCTTAAAAGGAAACACAATAAGTCCACTCTAAAGGTCAGTTTGTGACGCAGGCTTGGTCAATATTACGAATTCTAATTGCTAATACTTTCCTTGTCTTCTCTACATTTTCGTTGATGCACGCATTTGCATTTCTTGAATGTTGGTGTAAGGGTAAGTACAATTGACAGCGACAACCCATCCAAATCAATGGTCTGGGTAAGACCGTTAAAGGCATTAGGCATGTCACCCCAGCGTGATTGGAGAAACATTTTTCTCTGAAATTACAACCTACTTTTATGCAGCAACAGCTGTCTGCAACAGAAGAATAACTGAATAATTGCTCAGATGATGGATGACTGAATTTCCTAAAGGCTGGATCCATTAATTTGTATGTGCAAGGAGCATGACAGCTTCGTCAAACCTCACTGCCTGCTTGACACTGAGTATGATACGCTCCACACAATTCACTCCCTTGTTTACTTGCACAAATAAATGCATGACGTTCTGTGTCCCCTTCTTAATAATGATCATTTGGTGTCTACTCTCTTGACTCTGCCTCTAAATTACATTTTGTCTTGCACCCACACACACATTATGTTCCACTCGTGCACCACACACACTACTGATGACACTGATTCCCACACTCCACACTGTAGATATTGAGTTCACCTTTTAATTATGTCTAATAATTAGACTCTAATTTGGGTTAATTTGTTTGAATAAAGCTTCTTTTGTTTAAGGTTCCTACAATGTGTCTCCGTGTTTGTTGTGGCCTTGGAGAAGGGTCATAGCAGTCATGCCATCACCAATACTATTTGCGTATTTTAGATGCATCAACGAGTTACGGCTTTTGCTGAAATTGCCTGACATGAAAGCCAATCAATCCTAGTGCACCTGAACCCAAATTGATTCATTCACAAATACTTCAGGAGTCTTCCTTTGAATCTCTCTGACAGCACTCTAGGGAATAACATCTTTTTTTGAAACAAGATCAAGGTTAGAAAAGCTTTTTTCCAAAAGACCAAAAACTAAACAAAATAGCTTGTTTTCCAGTTCCTTTCAACATAACTGATATGAAAAAAATGACTCATGAGTGTTTCATGATCTGCCAGCCATATAGTGTATTTTACATAACTAAAAGTACTTGGTTAAGCTTCTGGAAAAAATACCTTCAACGGTACTTTCTCAGCTGAGAGAGAATGGTCATTATTGCAAGAAGTTGCTTGCCAAGACCATTTTTTTCTGAGTAGTGCAGTCTCCCTCTGCAGTAATCCACTTTAAGTTGTCATATTTCAGTGTACAACAAACAAGAAGGTAGACAAAAGGTCGACGGATGTTTGAAATGATTCTCCTAATTTGTCATTGCAAAGGTCATGCTTCGAGGTATTTCATTCTGGAGTATGTAC